TGCATACTTCCATCTGGCAGATGGTATAAAGTGTCTTTGGTGTAAAAGGCCAAGTATAAGACCACCTTTATCCCAACTGCCAATGGTATTTTAAATAGGATCTTAAGATGAATTTTGATGTATTATTACAGTTGTGTTTTTAAAGTGATGTATAATGTTAATTGTTGTTGTGATTATTATTCGTACTGTTTGTTTGTTGAGCCTTTGTCTAAAGGTTTTCTACCCCACTAGACAATAAAGCTTTTGAATTGAATTGAAAACAGGCAGTTCATGCTCAAAAAACCCTCCAGTGTGGCTGAAATAAAATAGTTTTGCAAAGAAGAGTGGAACAAAATTCCACCTAGCGCTGTGAAACATTTATCTTCAGTTATCAGAAGCGTTTGGTTGCAGTTATTGCTGCTAAGGTGGCACCTGATTTGAAGTTTAAGGGGCAATTAGTTTTTCTCATGGGCGATCATCTGGATTTTTGCTGTAATAATAATAATAATAATAATAATAATAAATGTATGTGTTTACTCGGGTTGCCTTTATTTTAAGTTGCATTTCGTCTGAAGATCCAAAACTATAATGAAATATACACAACAACAGAAGCAATCAAATATATTTTCAGCACTGCTTCTGCAAATATATTATTTGCAGACTTGGATTGGATATTAATTGTGTAATATACCAAAGATTCATAAACTGAAAGTATTCTATAAGCATGTAATTTTCAGGCGTGTGTGAATATAAAAGCAGCTCTTCCTGGTCAAAATATCTTTAGTGCCACCAATGTGGAGTGTGGTTTTTCTGCATTAGGGAACACCTAATGACCCTATGACAGATTATTTCAGATTATAAAACCTGAACATCTATGGCATGGGTCTCCTTTGTTCTTGAGAGAAATGTCCACCTTTGAATAAGTAAATGTGAAAAATTTATTTTCATTATGTTTTTTAATGCCACCAAGCTATCACATCTAGAAGTAAAAGAGAGTCTTGAAAGTTCTAGCCTGACAGAGTAGGACTTCCAAAAAAATGAAAGTAATTTCATGATGACATTTAAAGACGCCGAAATGTTACAAAAATATTTGGCTTGGTACTTTTCTTGTCTGAAACTTATAAAACTGTAATGTGACAGTAAATTCTGTCATAGTGACAGTGGCTGAAGGGTGCAGTGCTCTTGAAGGTCAGCAATTTTAGAAAAATGTAATGAATAAGAGGTGATTTTAAAAACTTGCTCTGTACTCAAGTGGGAGGAAAGAGCGGATAAATGCTTAAAAGTCTTACAGACAAATATATAATAAATGACACTGACAGATCAAGTGTAACTGAAACTGGTCTGATTGGTTTGTCTATGGGGTCATTCCATGTCAAATCAACCAAATTTAAAACATTTCCCTAAAAACAACACAAGATTTTGTTTTCTGAAGAAAAACAAATATAAATAGAGATGAAACCTCAACATATTAAATGGCATGCATGCATGTTTACTGAGTATGCTGAGTAGGGTTCAATTCCATAAATATGAGGATCTCAACAATGCGGCTCAAATTGTTATATTTTACCCATTTCGACCCACGCAGTCGAAAACCAAATGTGTGTCACCTTGCATACAGCTGAGACTTATGGAATATCTGAAGAACAAATAATATTGAAAGTAGAAATTCATCTTGTCATCTTGTGCAAAAAAAATGCACAGAACATTCCTGTCTGAGTGCCATGAACACACTGAAATGGTCAAACTGAATCACATTAACTTGCTCACAGTAGTGCAATTATAAGATTCTATATTTGAATCTGTTTCAGGGATATTTGGAAGAAGGGATTTTGTTCAGTTTAACTGCTTTTAACCATCAATACTGTGTATTTATAATCTGACGTGCCACGCTGTACATTCCTAAACCCAGGGTTAACATTCTTATTTTCATATTTGGTGTGTCAACACCAGTCATGATTGGATAAACACAAAACCACATTTGGTTTTTAACCATTGAAAATGGGTAAAATGAAACAATTTGGACATGGAGCCTTGAGATCTCCATATCCCTGGGGTTGAAATATAGGGCTTTAAAAATTAAGATTCCAAAATAAAAGTTTGTTAGGAACTAGAATATAAAAGGATATTAAGATATGTGAGTTACAGGCACAAAAACTGTGAAATAAGAATATTTTTAGCACTCACACAGGTATGTTCTATGCAATTATTTCAATAGAGAGAAAAAGAAGATACATTTCTAGTTCAAACTAATTCTTCTTTAAACACGATATACATCAGATGTGTGCATGCATAGTTTGGCACTTAGACAGGTATGTTCCATGCAGTTGTTTTGATAGAGGGAAATAACATAAATAAACAGGTTCTTCAGGTATTCCTCTATAAAAGAAAAAGTATCAGCTGTATACAAAGTGACATATGGTTTTTAACCACTGAAAATGTGTACAATTTAACCGTTTATTCATGGAGCCATGTAATCCCTGTATCTCTGGACATGAACCATACAGTCCTTAAAAAATTAAGATACCAAAAAAAAGCTTTTAATAGAATTTATGAAGTAATTTGTTAGTTATAGACATGCAGGCACCGTTGACCCTTTCACATTACTTTTCATGTTTCTCAGAAGCGGAAGTTTTCACAGTTGGGTCTATAGAGACCAAAATAAATCATTAACATATTATTTTTAAAACTTTTATTAAAAGTTTTTTTTTTTCTAACAAATATATTATCCAGCTGTAATAACTTTTTGTTTAAACTTTTTATCCAAATCTGACCAATCAATAATGGGAGGCATGGACTTTTTCATACTGTTTTTGTGTATACTGTATATACGTGAGGTGTGTGTGTAGGCTACTTAATATTTTGTGGAAATTTGTACTAGCTGTATATAAAGACAATAGAATAGAAGTCTATGAAATGTTCCTATTTAGATTTAGCTAAGTGTTTACCTATTTAGCTAAGTGTGTGTGTGTTCTGTGGTAGACGAACAAGGATAGTTGATGCATGTTGATGATGCTGATAATTATGTGTCCATGATTGACAGAGATAATAATGAAGAATCGATGTTTATTTGATGATTTGGAGGAGGTGATGGTAATGAAAATGATGTTGTAAAAGTTCTCACTCAGTGTTTGTTGATTCAGCAGATGTGATCATTTTAAATTCGTTTCATATTGGGTCTGATTACGTTAAAAAAATCACACTTTGATCTTATCTTCCAGTCCCTTTCATGCCACGTGACTTTGAACACTTGCTTCTGATAACATCTGGGAAAGCAACAGCTCGATATTTCCTTACCAGCCATGTTTATCAGCTACCTCTTACGTTCCATTCATGTGTCCGTCATGCAAGTGAGCATGATGTTCAAGCACAGGGGCAGGGCCGTGCACAGGGGGGTAGCCCATTGGCTAGAGCCACTGCCCCTTTACCCTCATCGGCTGAGTTGCCCCTCTCACCAATCCCCCGATCACCCCAGCTCAATGCGGTCTGTTCCCGCGCCGCTAAAAATCCGCAGATTCCGCTCCGTGTTTTCCCGCTGCTCCGCAGCATCACTCACAAACTGTGTGCTGACTGCTGAGCTCTCTGGAGTGTAGAGTGGAGACCACAGTTCCCGAAGGTCGTTGCATTAACAGGTAGATGCATTACAATCCACATTAAAGTCAGTGGATGATTCGCTGAATTAGTAATTTGGTAGTTTGCTTTTGTATTTCTGTCGGTAATGATTTGCTCTCGGTCTTCTAAAAGTGATAACAACAAAATATCCACGTTCTTAGAATTAGAATGTCTAATCAAATTATTGTACCCGATCAGATCTAATATAAATAACACAAAATTGGCTGTTGGCACACTTTGTAGACAAAAAAAAATAAATGCCTTAAAGGGGTCATATGATGTGATTTCAATTTGTCCCTTCTCTTTGGAGTGTTACAAGCTCTTGGTGCATAAAGAAGATCTGTAAAGTTGCAAAGACTAAAGTCTCAAATCCAAAGAGATATTCTTTGTAAAAGTATGTTTCTATAAAGTGGGGCAGTTCCAACTTTGCAAGGACAGTCTGGCGCTTCTGACTCACAGCCTGTAAGTAAGATTTTTATATTTAAAGAATTTGCCACTGACGATTCAAACACGAGCTTGAGCAGTGTAGAGTAGCACTTGTTGTTTGTCATTTCTCAGATCACAAATGCAGACATGGTTTTATGTTTACGCGGCGGGGCATAGAGGAGAAACAATAATGTACAGTATGTGGAAAATAATGCGTTTTTTGAACCTTAAACCGCATAAACACATTGCATTACACCAAATACACCAAATAATGTTCTTTTTAGCAACATCATATGACCCCTTTAACAAAAAAGAAGACCGAGACAGAGAGAAAGAGCGAAGGGAGGCTGCTAAAGGCAGTTCAACATTGCAAATAGGGCTGGGACAATAAATCGGTGCATCGCAATTCGTGGATCGATTCTGATATTATCTGAATGCATCGCGATTCCCTCTGGAATCTATTCTGAGCTTAGTTTTTAACAGCAGGTGACACTCTAGGCTAGATTTTAACCGCACACTCAAATGCTCACAAAGAAGAGCCCTTGTGCGTTCGGTAAGTGTAAGTGGTTAAATGTACTTGCACCTTGGTGGTACTGTCCTCAAACTGTTTACGTTCCCCCTGGGTATGATAATAATGTCAGTTATGTTTGGGTAGGCCGATGCATCACAATGCATATCCCAAAATTATTTGTGAATGAAGCATTCAACAAGTGTTTTATACTGTACAGCCTACTTTTTTTTATTTACAAATCACATCATATTTGAGAAATGTATCACAGAAGTTGGAAGGATTGATTATGGTTGCAAAGCATTTAAGCAAGAGGATGACATGATTATATATAATCATGTATTTACAGTGTATTTTATGCACATGATTATACATACATTCCACCTTCAGGCATTAGGTTCAGGAAGTACTTGCAAAATAAATAAATAAAGTAGGTTGAATGTTCTTGAAAGACATTCTAAATTTATTGACATAATTCATTTAATGGCGACTAGCTGAGCCAAACAATTTTTGTTTAGTTTGTGGCATCTGAGAAGCTCAATATGTAGTAGTGAACATTAGTGAATTAATGAATATTTCCTTGTGACATATCTGTTGTCCTTGGCCAAATGCATTGGTATTGCTTTTCTTAAAAAAAAACGCTTTTTGATTGAATTCTACTGTAATAAAACACATAACCTTTAAAATTCTGTTAAAAACTAAAGTTGAATTTGTGATTTGATTAGCAGACCTGTGATACGTAGACTCTAGAATAGTGGCTCTATTTTAATTTTAGTGCGGGAACAATTCAGTTGTGATCCTCCATGGATGGTTGTGAGATGGGTTGTTCACATTCTGAGGCACATTCACATGTGCATTCATTCATTTTGGTTTATTTTCATCATTTACACAAGCAAACCGATTGAACCACATCTTCTCTGTGTCATTATTTTGTGTGTTTTTCTTCACCAACACAACGCACTCCATCGAGTAACATTGGTGTCCCGTGGTGGCGATCTGTAAAAAAAAAAAAAAAAGGTTTAATCATGACAACTCTCGGAAGATTTTAGCATGGTGATGGATATGACAATATTAATGTATTTGGTCTTGGCGGAATAGATCTGCTATGCTGCTGCTGCTGTTGGTTATTGCTGTAGTTGTAGATTATTGCTGCTGCTGCAAGCAAGTACAGGAACTTGCTACTGCCAATGCATACGACGATACGGTGCCATGAGTATTTAAGACATACTGCTGCTGCACAAATAGCATATAAACTAACCTGTAGCAGATCTATACAGGTGGAGCTGGGGAAGGTGGAGGGTTTACGTTAACAACCATCAGCCTGCGCCATCTAGAGTTTCATGACTAAAATGTATATATTTATTTTAGTGGAGGGGATTTTCTATTTATTTCAATTTGTTCTCACTTAATGTTACTTAACAGTTCTAACAATCAAATTGAGCACATGTTTTTATATCCTTACTACAAAATAAAGGGGAGTACTTTTTAAACTTCATAAACCATGCTTTTTTGTCAACTTGTCAATATGACGGTTGATTTAAAATTGACAATATTAGTAGTTTTTTTTGCTTCAGAAGCCATTAATTCATCAACTGGGGTCGCATGGATAACAGCCTGTGTTCGTTTTGCATAGTTTTTAAAGCACAACTCTATCTATGCACTTGCATTATATGGACTCACAGAGATGGATTATTCTTCTAAAATTCTCAGTTTGTGTTCATCTGAAAAAAATACAACTGGAACAGCATGAGGGTGGATAAATGAAAAGAGAATTTTCGTTTTTGGATTTCATTTTAAAAAGTACTTTCTCCCATCCAAGCTTAATATTTCTGTAAAACTGCTTTGAAACAATTGTAAATGAACTAAATACGCAGAGGCAACTATACTGGTCCAGAAGCGACACACTTCACCTCATGAACGCTCTGTTATGAATGACTAGAGATCGGTCACCAGTTGGTGTGTGTCTCTCTCACCCATGACTCTGGCCTGTAATCGAACTCGGACGCTGCTGTCCCTTCTGCTCCTGTTGACCAGGGTGAGTTCCTCTTGCACCACTCCCTCCTGCTGAGCGCTGTACTCACACACCAACCTCACTCCCCCTTAAAAGAGCACAGGAAGATGAATGGGAATGTGTGGAATGAATACAGATACAGAGGAGTACAAAGATAACACAAAAAAAAGATGGGTAAAAGAAAGCGCCTCAGTGACCAGGATAAGATTGGAAGACTGAAATCATCATAGAGAAACAATCACCTAACTGCAAAGTGCTTGCAGCTTCTTTTAGAATATAAATTGTATGCTCAGATACGGCAAACCTGCTAAGATTTCCCTAGAGATTCAACTGTGGGAAAAATGACACTACTATAAACGCGCTAAGTGAGTTTCAGCTAATGGAGAGATCGATGATGGACTGAAATAGGAGTGTGACTATTGATCGTAACATGATGTCTTGCATTTGGCTTGATGTTTTATTACCAGTCAGGTGTACAAGCGATCTTAGAGCTACATTAACGGTTCTGACAGCGCTTACGTTTTTACAACCTTGTTTAAATCGTTTTTTAATTGTAACTGCTTAGTTTAAGCTATATCTGTATCTAGTTTTCTGAAACTTCTCATCATTTATTGAGTCAGGGAAGCCTAATGGATATAAATCTGGACTATTTTCTTAAAGGTTTCTTGTTTAATCCCTAGCAAGATTAAGATGGTTTAAAGATCACAAGTACTGTTCATTAATCTTGTGCCCCTGAGTAGAGCACTTAACCCAGGTTGCTCCAGTGAGACTCTCCCTGTAATAAGTCTCCTGTATGTAGCTATACACTTAAAAAAAAGGTTCTTAAATGGTTCTTTGGAAGGGTGTATGGTTCCATGAAGAACCTTTCAGATCCAAAGAACCTTTCCGTTGTACAAAAGGTTCTTTGTAGTGCCAAATGGTTCTTTAGACTAGGGTTCTTCACCCTCAATCACATGTGACCTCATATTGTTGGAATAAGTTCCAGAATGATTTGATTGATTCTTAAGAAGGAAAAAAAGTGATACGAGGCACCCTATTATAATAAATAGCACAATGTCATTTGCACAGCCTATATCAGTGGTTTTCAATGCTGGTCCTGCGGGGACCCACAGCTCTGCGCATTTTATGGCTGCATCCGAAAAGTGAAAAATGCTGCCTTCGGCGGACATCACGGTTGCCATGGTTTAATGCTGTAGTCTAAAACAGCCACCGAATGAATCAGTAAATGAATCTTGGAGAACGTAATTGAACAAAATTACTAGCCCACTAGTCGCTGTTTACGGTTTTTCTGGTGGTTTATAATAGTTTAGTAATGAGGAAAATCACGGACATGACAGGTCTTAGCTTGCAGTTTGGAGTCGACTCTCAATTTCTGAAGCCATTAAATAGACGAAGTGATTCTTTGTGGAAAATGATTCTTCCCCTCCCCCTCCTTTCAGTCTTTTTCGTGCCGTATGGTTTTAGAAGAGTCTGATAAGAAGTAAAATGGTGTGTTTGAAATAATAAAACATTTTAATTAGTATAACATAACAGGATGGCTTTTCCAAACTTTATGAATAAATCACATCCTTTTTTTTTTTTCGGGCAAATGCAGCTTCGCGCCGTTTCTTCCTGCTCACTTCACTTCAGGTTACGCCCGCGCTGACAGGATGCGTTTTCTCCGAGAGTCTGACAGAAATCGACGGTGAGTGTGCATGCATAGAGCTATTTTAAATAGCCAGAACAAAATATCGAGGGTTATTTATTGTTTTTTTCTAACTGGTGAAAAATAATAATTTTAAATGGTCTTATCTGCCCAAATGAGGTTTCGAGCAGGTCTCGGCCTGCCGCTCATTCCTCCACACGCACAAACACACCAAACCTCTGACTGTCACTAAACATATAATCAGAAGCATCTGTGAAAATACTTTCTCAAGAGCTACACATAATCATTGCATAAGAAAGAAATTTATGAATAAATTGTCCTTTTTTTGCCAAATGCAGCTTCGCGCCGTTTCTTCCTGCTCCCTTCACTTCGTTACGTTACGCACGCGCTGATAGGATGCGTTTCCTCAGAGTGACCGAAATCGACGGTCCAAATGAGGTTTCGAGCAGGTCTCGGCCTGCCGCTCATTCCTCCACACGCACAAACACACCAAACCTCTGACTGTCACTAAACATATAATCAGAAGCATCTGTGAAAATACTTTCTCAAGAGCTACACATCATCATTGCATAAGAAAGAAACTTGTTTATGAATAAATTGTCATTTTTTTGCCAAATGCAGCTTCGCACCGTTTCTTCCTGCTCCCTTCACTTCGTTACGTTACGCACGCGCTGATAGGATGCGTTTCCTCTGAGAGTGACCGAAATCGACGGTAAGTGTGCATAAATAGAACTATTTTAAATAGCCAGAACAAAATATAAAGGGTTATTTATTGTTGTTTCTAACTGGTGAAAAATAATATCATTTTAAATATTTTAAATAGCCAGAACAAAATATCGAGGGTTATTTATTGTTGTTTTTTTCTAACTGGTGAAAAATAATAATTTTAAATGGTCTTATCTGCCCAAAATGAGGTTTAGAGAAGTTTCTTCGCTCCATTCACCGCAGTTCGAGGCATTGACAAGACTGTGTCCGGTATTTTTGAGTCTCCCCAAAAGGCTAACGGTAAGTGAATTCATGGAATCATTATAAATAGCATATGTACTGAAATAAAACATTGTTTATTCGTTCTCTGTTTGTGTGGCCGTGAGTGGTTAAATAGTAAAATCAACCTCAATCCAGTGAGGTAACGTTAGACTAGTCTGGTAGTTATCCGCCATTTTGTCCATCAAACTTAATGAAAACCACATTTATAACATCTCTGACTCCATGTTACGTGGGTCAAAAGCTCTATTCGGACAGCAACTCTTTCTTAATCACTGTTCGGACAGTAAGTTAATTGTTTCTTAAGCCCTAATTTACTCCGTTGGTAAGCGTTTCTCATGAGACGTCTGTAAAAATT